CAGGCCAAGATGTTGAGGACCGTCGACCCGGCAGGCCGGGCCGAGCCGGGCCCTGACCCGTTGACTGGCCATGTCTACATTGGATGACTCCTTATAATTTTTGATATATCAAAAGAGGTTGAAATAATCTAAAATATTAACTTTGACTTTGTATAAATTGGTTAACTTATTATTAAAGGAATTATAGTAAAAATTATTTTAATATATTTTTATAAAAAAAATCAAATTTTAACTATAAATTGGTTAACTTATTATTAAAGGAATTATAGTAAAATTATTTTAATATATTTTTATAAAAAAAAAAATCAAATTTTAACTACATGTTGCAAATTGTGCAATTCGATTATAACATGAGTTTTTATAAAAATAAAGTGGTATCGAAGTTGAACATAATTTTGTGATAATTATAACAATGAAATTCGATTCTTATATTAATTATGAATCAGTGCAACTTTTTATTCTTTTGGTAACCAACCATATAACGTGATTTTCTACAACATGTCTTTAAAAAATAACTATTAAATAGGTTTGGGATATAGAAAATATTATTTGAATATGCATTATAAGATTGCAAATATAATTACAAAATAAAAGTCGAAACCAATATGCAAATTATTAGTTTAGAAAGAGAAATTTAAATATTCATAATATATATTGTTGGAAATTATTATGACAAGCCAACATATCATCTGTCGAACTATCCAAAAGTTTTGTAATATATATTGTTTTAAATTATAATGATAAACTAACAAGCAATCTATCGAACAACGATGCAAATTGTTAGTTTAGAAAAAACAAAAAAAAAAAAATACATTTATTATATTTGTTATTAATTAGATAAATCACTCTATGTGGAACTATAATATAAATTAATGGATTAAAAAGAAATTTAAAATACTTATAATATGCATAATTATAAATTATAAAAAATAAAATGAAATAATGTTGATGTAATTAAAATTTATTGGAAATCTTAGCTTTAAAATAATATATTATTGTCTTTTTCAATTAATTGTTAGTTATAATATTTGTTATAATTTTTTTTATTTATATATGTCGTTATATTTATTTATAATTTTCATTATTTTATATTTATTTATAATTTTTATTATTTTATAATAACAGTAAACACATTATTAAATATTTGAAAAATGCCTAATATAACACATAGAAAATAAAACCTGAAATTAAACGTTCACAAAAAGACAAAGAAAGAGAAAAATATTTAGCTAAAAACAAAATTAAAACATAAAAGTTGTTATCATTGTCTGCTTGAAACCACATTCTTATAAAATGTTCCCCCATAAAGTCTAACGGCAACAAATATTTCTTTACCATCTAGGGCCAAAATTGAAACAACGGATTGGTGTTGTGACGGCACTGTAGACGCGCCCCAAATTATAATCATAACTACAAAAATATATTAAAACGACGAAAATTAATCTTGCATTTTCTCCATTATAATCATAACCATGAAAAAATCTAAAAACGCTCATCTCTCACCTATTGTATCGACTTAATTTATTTATTATTTCTTAAGGTGAAATCTTTAGTAATCATTCGACCAACTTTGGCTTTATCTGATTAAAAGATATCAACAGTCTAATTTATATTGTATCGACTTACCATTGCACATAAGTTTGATAATGTTTGCTCAAATTATAATCATAACTACAAAAATATATTAAAACGACGAAAATTAATCTTGCATTTTCTCCATTATAATCATAACCATGAAAAAATCTAAAACGCTCATCTCTCACCTATTGTATCGACTTAATTTATTTATTATTTCTTAAGGTGAAATCTTTAGTAATCATTCGACCAACTTTGGCTTTATCTGATTAAAAGATATCAACAGTCTAATTTATATTGTATCGACTTACCATTGCACATAAGTTTGATAATGTTTGCTCAAATTATAATCATAACTACAAAAATATATTAAAACGACGAAAATTAATCTTGCATTTTCTCCATTATAATCATAACCATGAAAAAATCTAAAACGCTCATCTCTCACCTATTGTATCGACTTAATTTATTTATTATTTCTTAAGGTGAAATCTTTAGTAATCATTCGACCAACTTTGGCTTTATCTGATTAAAAGATATCAACAGTCTAATTTATATTGTATCGACTTACCATTGCACATAAGTTTGATAATGTTTGCTCAAATTATAATCATAACTACAAAAATATATTAAAACGACGAAAATTAATCTTGCATTTTCTCCATTATAATCATAACCATGAAAAAATCTAAAACGCTCATCTCTCACCTATTGTATCGACTTAATTTATTTATTATTTCTTAAGGTGAAATCTTTAGTAATCATTCGACCAACTTTGGCTTTATCTGATTAAAAGATATCAACAGTCTAATTTATATTGTATCGACTTACCATTGCACATAAGTTTGATAATGTTTGCTCAAATTATAATCATAACTACAAAAATATATTAAAACGACAAAAATTAATCTTGCATTTTCTCCATTATAATCATAACCATGAAAAAATCTAAAACGCTCATCTCTCACCTATTTTGTATCGACTTAATTTATTTATTATTTCTTAAGGTGAAATCTTTAGTAGTCATTCGACCAACTTTGGCTTTATCTGATTAAAAGATATCAACAGTCTAATTTATATTGTATCGACTTACCATTGCACATAAGTTTGATAATGTTTGCCCAAATTATAATCATAACTACAAAAATATATTAAAACGACGAAAATTAATCTTGCATTTTCTCCATTATAATCATAACCATGAAAAAATCTAAAACTCTCATCTCTCACCTATAAATATAGGACCAATGCTCAATACACTAAACACGAAATAAAAAGGAAAAAAAAATTGCTTAGTGTTGAAAAAGAAGAAGGAAAAATGAGTAAAAATGGCCTTAACTTAATTATGACTCTGCTGGTTTTATCTATTCTGGTTTCCCGAATTGCACCTTCAACTTCTGGTAAATCTTCAACTATATGTTTTCTGATTTAAGAATTATTTTCAATCTTTGTTATTAATTCCATTTTTAATTTATTATGATAAATTTATTAATTCTTTTTCTTTTCTAATTCATCAAGATGATACACACCTAGGACATGGGACACAAGCTACAAAAGTACGGTACCTTCATCACATTTTTGTCTTACGTTAACTGCACAAAATCTTTTGTGTTTAATGAAATTTGTACATTATATTCGTGTGTTTCAAAATTTTTGTGAAAGTTTGGTTAAATTTTATTTCTAATCCACAATATTGGTCTCTTTCCAAATAAAACACATGCTATATTAACATATATAAAACTTAATATACTAATAAGTTGTAAAAAAAATATAAAAAAGGTACACTAATCATGAGAGATAATTTTTGTTCTGCCTAATTCTGGTGTTGGATGAATCGCCATTCGATTCGTCTTGTCGAGGTGTCGTACTTACAAAATTTCAATCCAATCTGAGTCGTTTTCACTTTTATTGTTATTATCCAAAGTGATTTTAGTTATTTTCAGTCCAGCCTAAATGCCTAGTTATGGCGTCATACATCACCGGTTTTATTTGATACCTTGTTGGACTCTTTTTGTTGCGACAGTCGTACCCCTAAAATTTCAGCTCAGTTGAAATTCATTTGTCCACTATGTAGCTCAATTTTAAATTCATACCCTCAAAATTTTAGCCCAATTAGTTCGCTTGCTAACTCAATTCTCGAATTAAATTATTTGGCACGTTTTGTGTTTGACCTAATACTGGTGTCATTTGACATCTGTTTCAGATGAACGATGGATTGACCTCAGTCAAGGATGGTCATATTTACAAAATTTCAGTCCAATCTGAATCCATTTGGTTGCTCAATTTTCTATTTAAATTTATGGATACAAAATCTATTTTCATTCCATGTCGAGTTCGTGATAAACTTAAATAATTCGACCATTACGTATTTGAAAAATCTGTGTACTATGTTTTATGCCTGGTAAAAAATTGATATGGAAAATTAGCCCAACATTCTGCATGCCTGTTTTTGTGGTTATTTGGAATTAAATACTCATATTTATTATTTTGCAATTATAATTAATCTTGATGGTGTCCGAATTATTTTCCTTTTATTTTTATACAGAGGCAGATTAATGAAGCAAAATCAATCCCAAGGGAAAGCATTGGAATGGAAAAACTAAAGGTCTTTCTTGGAAGAATGAATGTGGAGATCGATGATTATCCTGGCTCAGGACCAAATAATCGTCACGATCCAAATCATCAAAACTGTTGTAAGAATTATAGAGGTCACTGTGTGAAATATTGTTAACTAAAGGTCTTTCTCGGAAGAATGAACGTTGAGATTGATGATTATCCTGGCTCAGGACCAAATAATCGTCACGATCCAACGCGTTGTTATAATTATAAATGTAAGTGTTGGAAACCTTGTCGTTTGTCTTAGTGATTGTTGTGTTTGTTGCCTCGTGAGTCTTGTTTTTGGTTTATGGCATTGCTAGTGTCGGGATTCTAAGTGGTCGTCAGACCTGTCTTCCCAGTTATTCAGCTTTTGGTTGTATTATTCAGCTTGGGGTTGTATCCTCGCACATTTGTGCGTTTTGTTATATAATATTCTCTATCGTTTCGAAAAAACAAAGGTGTAACAAATACACCAACTTTTAATGTTTTATATAAATTTATATACATGAATGACTATTTTGTCCTTGATGTAATTATATTATTACGATTGTGCCATCAAAAGTTTTCCTATAAAATGGAGCTTCATTTGTAATGAAAATATACCAAGAGAATATCTTCTTTATATTCTCTCTAGTTTTATAACACGTTATCAACACGAGTCTCTTCCCTCGAGAACTTGATTTGTAATATGACGAAAGTATGCTCTACAGTTGCGTCTTATAGATGATCCTCTGTATCAAAAATCATATTATTAATTATTACTTTATTCGAGTTCGCATGTCGAGATGCCACTTACAGCTCCACCTAATTGGACCTCCTCGTTCGAAATTAAAAGGTATGTTTATTCTTGAAATTAGAAGTTAATAAGTTGGAAGACATAAGGTTTTCTAATTCTATTTGAAGAAACTCATATTTAACACCTCATTAGGATCCATGTTGTAGCCTATATATACACCAAGTCTAGCCTCCATCTCCTACACGCGTAAAACACGAGAGGAAGAGAGAGATCTCTTTTCTTGAAAAAAATCGGATAAAACCGAGAGGTCTTAAGAGAAAAAAATTGTGATGTTTTGGGAGTTCTGATTAATGGCTCCACCAAGATTGATAGGATAATGTGTAAAGGTCATACATCAGAAGATCCAAAGGTCATGTATTTGTATCCCGACAAATATATATATGTATCCCGTGCAATATATTTGTACCTGTAATGTATCTGTAATTCGAGGTGTTGTTCGTTCTTTAAGAAATCTGAGAATCATGTCCACCGGATGTCTCAGAATCAACTGGTGACCATGCCATGGTGTTGGGCGTATTTCGGCGACTCTCTGGTCAAATTTGGCGACGATCAGCCAAGGTGCTCGGGCAGGCGACCGCCGGCTAGCTGCAGCCGCGCATAGGCACTGACCATCAGCCGTTGTGCTCGTACCCCAGCCTACAGGCATCTTTCACAGAGCCCAGGCGAGTTACTCTCGCAACCCAGTGCGCAAGGAGCCCGGACATCTGCTCCAGCTGCCCACGTCCACGCTAGTGAGGAGCCCAGTGATGAGGAAGCCTAGGCGTGCGTGATCCAGATGGCGAGGAGGCCCAGCGTGCACAGCCAGCACAACACGAGGAGGCCCATCAAAAAGCAGCTCCAGCACGCAGGCCGTATCTAGTCAGCGTGGCCTGCGTGCCTCACAGTCTTCAGCCTGCGTAGCCTGTCTCTAGCCCGCGTCTAGCCCGCGCATTTCCAGCCTTCCACCAGGCCCAGCGACATGTCCCAGATCCTCCTGCACAGCCCAGAGGGTGTTCCAGCGAGGCCCAGTAGCGTGTACAGCATGCTAGCCAGCTCAGTTCGGCCCAGATCGAACCCAACTCACTCCAGCAGGTTCAAGACGTGAACAACAGACCCAGACCCAATTCAGAAGTGGTCCAACAAGTCTAAGAGCGGTTGGTGATGCTAGACGAGCAACACGGTTGAGTTCCGGTGATGACGAGGCCTAGTCCAGCTTCCCAAAGGACTCTGAGGTTCAGACAATCTTCAACAATGGAAATCAGAAACGTCTCAGAGTCGGCAAAAATTTTAAACTATAAGTCTTAGTCCTAACTATAGATTCTAATGTGTTTGGACTTATTTTTAATGGATTCGAATGTATACATCGACGACGTTCCTCATAGAACCCAACACGTACGGATGTGAATTTATGTAGCAACAGCAAATTTAAAGCGAAAGCAATTTCAACAAAATTTTCTTTCGGAGCCTTCCACTTTCCTCAAAATTCTTTCACTAGAAAATGGTAGTGCACACATAGTGTAATGCGGATTTATAAGTCTAGAACTCTCTTCTAATCTAATGGTCCCTACGCTCCACTTTCTTAACTAATTTTCTGGACAACTCTTGAATTTGAAAAAAATATTGTAGTTCACTCTACATGTACACGAACACTTATCCCAAGTGTTGTAAGAAAAAGATAAACGAACGACGCCAACCTTTTAGCCTGTTGGAACACGAACTGAAAACCCGACTAAAATTATTAAATAAAATCAAAACTAAGCTTTCAAAAACTCTCAGAAAGAATTTAGGATATTTCGAGCTCTCTCTCTCTCCCTCTCTCTCTCTCTCTCTCTCTCTCTTTCTCTCTCAATCAGTACCATACAATGGTGACGAATTTGAATATATATGCGTCCTCTTTTAGTAATCGATCTTCAGAATCATCTTTAACTTGGAAGGTACGAGCATATGCGAGATTTGGCAGATCTTGTACGAGCTATTCCATATTTGCATGATCCTCTATCCATACGTGCTCCAACTGCGTCCCAGCTCCAATGTCGCGTCCTGATCTCCATCCAGCTTGTTCCTACAGTAAATTAGAAAACAAATCTAATACATGTCTAACTCAATATCTAGAAATATAGTACATGGAAACGTAATAAAGATATTAAACTTCTCGTTATTTTGTTTTTCTTCCTATCTAACTGTCTTATAAGAAAATTAATTAAATAAAAAGTGATTATTTGAATTATTTCAATTCTGATAGGTCGAAAAATGTGCACATTTTATATATTTAATGGTGTATTTTTATACATTTAATTTAATTGCACGTTTATATTTTTAGACTTATTTATTATTTGGATAGATTTATTTGCTTAGATGTTTTATATATTATTAGTATTTTGGAATATTTTGTGGATGCGAAGCATTGAACAGAATTTCACGCGATCAATTATCGGGATGCTTCAACACTGCTCCAGTTTAGCATTGCATTTTATTTGGAGTACACATATTTGGTGCATTTGGAGAAATCAATTAATTGAAGATACTTGGGACATATAATTGAGGGGTAAAATATACAGTACTCTCTTGTATTATACGAAATCTGCGTATTTTCCCCCTGTAATTTAAAAATTGCGTCAAACCTCCGTGTATTGTACTTTGGCCTGCGCGAAATACCCAAAAACGTTTAAGATGACGGTAGTGGTCTTCACGCACCAGCGTTGCGACTCTCTCTTCCTTTTTCAGTGCAGCAGCAGGTCAAAAGGCCATTTTACCCCTCACTAACCCTTTAAATATGAGCAACCATTGCAGCCCTTTTCTCCACCCCTTTTACCCAATTTTGCCGCCTTTCTTCACAGCAGCTCCATTTTTGGCGCCAAAACAGGTATTAATTTTTTTTTTTTTATTATTATTTACAGAAACATGTTCGCATTTGTGTTTAAGCAAGCAACATGTACGATTCTTTTTTTCTTTNATTTTTTTCTTTATATCATTTTAATTTATTTATTTTTTTAAATGAATGTAGGTGAAAAATGTCAAAATGAATGTAGGTGAAAAATGTCTTCTCAAAAATCAAGGACGACGAAGAATGAGAGTTTGGATTTAAGGTATAGGCACCCTAAATGCTATTGCAACACGTTTGCTCAAATTAGGGTTGTGGGTCCTACAAAAGAAACTGTCAGCAAACTATTTTGCAATTGTGCAGACAACAAGTGTCGTTTTTTTGTTTGGCTTAAACCTACCTCGGTGAATTGGGTGAAGTCAAATCAAATGCATGAAGATGAAGCTTGTTATGAAGATGATGATGAAGTTGAATCAACGGGAGCAAATATAACAAACCAAAATGCAGAAATTGCAACAATGGTGAAAGAGATGCAATCAAGGATGGAGAAAATGGAGAAAAAGTTTAGCAATGGATTGTTTGTTTTGATTGTTGTAATCATTTTGGCTATTATTGTTCTTAAGTAATTGTGCAATGTAATTGGTTATGACAATGTATGTCTATTGCCAATGAAATGTAGTCATTCATTCCTAAATGGTTGTTTACTCCATGAACCACAACCGCAACCACAACACTATCATAAAGACTATCATAACCAACAAATGAACTACCAACAATATACAAAAGAGTAGATGGACATTTTAAAAATCAAAACCACCATGTCATAACCACTTCAAAAACCAAAAACTTCATTTCTACAGAACATTGTCACCATCATAAGCAAAACACTTTAGTCACTGTCACCAACATAATAACCAAAAACTTCATTACCAAAACACTGTCACCATCATTAAACAACCACCATGCCTACAGCACACTGTCACCATCATAATAACAACCAAAACACTACAGTCACAACCACCAACATAAAAAACAATAGCACCATGGGATACAGAATCAAAAGATACAGAATCATGTTACCACAAACATAAAACAAAACATAGTCAATATTCAACCATGTCACAACCAAAGACACAGAATCATGCTTCCACCAACATATCCAATAGAATACTTGTTCATGAACAACACACCTTGGGATGGAGGTTTGAGGGCCAATGAATAAGCCTATGTTGTGCTTTGCTGAGTGGAGGTTTGAGGGGCATTGACAGAATCCTCAAAAGACTGCTGACTTGGTTGTTGCTGCCAAGACAGAAAAAAAAAAAAAGAACTGAAAATTAAATACATGTTAAATAACAAAAAATCTGAAAACTTCAAGTTGATTAAACAAAAGCTAAAAGTTCACCTTCTCAGGATTATTTGGACCAGCTCTTTTGTTGCACCTCCTCTTATTATGATTATTTTCTCCACACACAGTGCATCTCTTGATAAGCCCCTTTCTGCTGCTTTTTGTTGCCACAGACCTCATGTCATTAGCATCAGCTCTTCTTTTCTTTGTTAGCCTACCCCTCTTTTTCACAGCATCAGGAGGCTGAATTGGGCCCATTCCAGATTCTTCATATTCATTCATCCCTGGAACTGGGAAGATCATATGGCTGTACATCCTCAAATACATGTCCTTCATGAAGAAATCAGACACATAATCACCAAGAGGGAACCTATGATAAGAGATGCATGCCAGTGCCTGGCAACAGGGGTACCCAACTAATTGGAACATGCCACATGTACAGCTCTTTGCTCTCAGTTGCACTATATGGCTGTAATGCCCCATTTAATTGTGATTTTATATTGTGGATTATTTGATTATTATTACTGTTATTATTACAAATGTTATTATTATTATTATTATTTATTAAATGTCTAAATATTATTGATTGTCTAATTGTAATTAATTGCCTAAATGTGTATTTGTATTATTATTATTATTATTATTATTATTATTATTATTATTATTATTGAGAGTACAGATATTACTAATTGTCTAATTGAAATTTATTGCTAATCGTATATTTTGATAATTAATATTATTTAAAATAATGTGTATTAAATAAACGTTATATACGGTTTTATTTTATTTAATTAATCGTGCGATTTAATCGAGCCCGTAAATACCGCGTGAACCAAAACCGAGCCCGTGAGCCGATTTATTGTCGAAACCGGCCCAACAAACTGACCCGTGTGAATTTGTCTTGGGGGTCAAGACTAATGACCTAATCATTGCACATATATACATTGGGTGTATCTATTCCTTCTCCCCAAAACATTCACGCCGCAGACATCAACAATCTCATCCCCCTCAGTCGTTTTTCTCTCCCGCGCAACCCTTAAGAATTTCCTCTCCCTCTCTCGATCTCGCCTAAACAGAGTAGAGAAAACCGAAATCCCGCAACATCCTCTCGTCGCCAAAATCTCATCGCCGCCATCGACCCTCTTCCTCTCTCTGGAGAACCAACCGCCCTGTTCGAACCTTGATTTTCATTGCTGGTCCTCTTCCCGCAGGCAAAATCCGGCGAGCCCTCCCCCTTCACGTGCTTCCGGCGTTTCCCTGCCGCCAGCGAAGGTTGTCCGCCGCTGCTCCGCCCCGTCACGCATCTCAGGCCACCGTGACCCCGCCGCGAACCAGCGGATTTCGCCTCCTCCACAAACCAGCGAGTTCCTCTGCTCGCGAACAGCAACCCCGCGAATCAAGTCGCCACGCCGTGAAAAGCTTCTCCCCTCGCTGGAAGTGAACCAGCGAGTACCCCCACCCGCCGCAACCTCCTCTTTTTCGGGGAAACCTCCCAGCGACGTCGCGACTTCCTTCAGCGATCGACGAGCTCGCGACCAGCAGGCCCCGTCGAGCCCTCCTCCTCCGTTCGTGATCAACAGCAAGTCGGCGAACTCCCCTCTCCGGCGAGCCGCTGCCCTTCGCCTGCAAGCCCGACGACCGACGACAACAACTTGTTCCCAGCAGCAAGCTCTCCTCACGCGCGACGAGCCCTTCCCTCGCGAGACGACGCTTGCCGTCGAGCTTGAGCCCGCGAGTTCGCCTCGTCTTTTTCGTGCCGTTTTTGAGCTCTTTTCCGAGAACGGTACCTAGTCGATTTCGTCTCGTTTAATCATTTATGTTATTTTTCGTATATGTGTGATTTGCGAGACGTGAATATTGTGCGTTAATGTGATCATTGTGATTTTATGTAAGAGTTAGGATTTTATGTGCCGTATATGTGTTTGGGACCTCTTCGATTTTCTCAAAAATCGAACGAGACCTCGAAAGTCATGTAAGTCCGTGGATAATGGAACAATGTCGAGTCCTTGGCCTTATGAGAAGGCCTCGGACGAGAAATTTTATGTTGTGAATTAATTTGCAAGTTGTCGAGCCTTTTAATCGCTATTTCGGTGTTCGAATTTTTAAAAATAGCTCGCTGCTCGAAACGACTTGAAATTTTGAGGGATGTGTTATCTGTTCATTATATGCCTTGTGTAAAAATATTGTAATTTTTGGAGGCCTGTAGCTATTTTTAATGATTAAATTGTAATCTGATCAGAATAATGTTAAATGCATAAAAAATTCATGCCTGAATGAAATGAGCTGAAATTCGAATATGTCATGCCTCTGTGACTTATATGTGTTGTGTTAAATTTTTAGAATTTTTGGAGTTGATTTGATATGGTTAATATTCTATTTATTGAATCTGCAGAAACGTTGTTTGAATTTTTATAAATTGGTTACTGCATGAAAAATTCTGAAATTTTATTGAGAGGCCTATTTTGTGTGTTTGGTCATGTTTGCAAAAGATGAGAATTTTTGGAGTCCGTTTAGATTCAGTTTGGATTTAAATTTGATAAACTGCTGTTGCTCGTGTGAATTTTTAAAAATAGCAGCAGTTATCATTTAAGGCTGAGATTTTTATACATGAACTTGAGCACACTGTATATTGCTGTGTAAAATTTTCAAGATCAGATTCATTCATTAAGTTTGAGTATGAATTAATGTGCCCTTTTTGCTGATATTTTGTTTGAATTTTATAAATTAGGATATTTCGAGTTTAAAGCTGAAACTTTGTGGTTTTACATGTTTCTGGGAGATGAAATTTTATGTAAATTTTCAGAGCTTTTAATTCGTTGGGTAGCTCGACCATCTATTTTCATGCGATTAAATGATTCAATTTTCGAGCATAATTGTTATATGGAAGATTTGGATCGACTTGCTTTTTGGTTTTTATGTGTGTTTGACTTGGTCAATCCTTAGATGGATTTGTGTGAACTCCCTTATGTGGTTTGGTCGAGTTTAGTGCCGAGTCTTAGTGTTCCAACATCCACAGGACTTCACGAACTACTTAGTCGAAACGTGTTCGACTAGGTCTGTCTTGTGATTTTCGATTTATGTCGAGATAGATATTGATTATAGGATCTTGACTTAATGTAGGTGTCTAAGAGGTGTTGACCTCGCCTCGTTTCTGGATTTGTGATTCTTTGAACTGTTGCTGCTATCAGGTGGGTACATTTATGATGTATTCCATATTTATCGCACTTAATATTTCGTATAAATGCTTTGTTTTGAAAAATGATGTATGCGTGAGAACCCTAGTCTAAGTGTCCCGTATGTTAGTGCCTTTGAGGAATGCATAAACAGTGAGAGGTCATCGGCCCGTAGATTCGGAGAGGTGACGCCCAGGTCCGTATGATATTCGTGAATGGGAAAAACATCTCTACTGTCTCCTGGAAAGGATCCCAGGCCCGTAGCCATTCGGTGATGGGAAGGTTTCCAGTTACTTCCTTGCCGTGTGTGATCGGAAGGTTGTTGTATATACATAGGAGGTTTGCGATAGGGCCAAGTAGGGAGTTAGACTGTTGGATTCTATGCATACTGAATACTGTGGTTATGATGGTTTAAAATGTTATGCGAGATATACTGTGCGATAATGGTGAGTTTGTTGGTTATGCTCACCCCCATTATTTTCTTGTTGTTTTTCTCTCTTCCTTTGTTTTAGGTTGAGACGAGCTGGAGGCGGTGGCGTAGGACGAGCGAGATGGTGGTCATTATGTGTTGAAAACCTATGCTTCCGTATAAACTGAATATTTATTTATTTGCTATTGCACTTGGATTATTTGTTTACTACTTTCACCTTTTGAACTTTGTTAAGTTGGTTGAACCTTGAATAATGCTAGACCTTTTGAAATGGTTTTTGAGACTTATGTTTTATGGGATTTGTTATATCGTTAGCTCGAGCCTGTGTAGGTTCCTTGACGTGTTGGATGTGTGTTGTTTGTTGTTGTTAGTAAGTAGCGCCCGTTTCTCGACAAGTGTTTTAAATTGGATTTTTTTTTTTTAAAAAAAAACTCTGATTCTTATTAATTAATTCGATAAGTTCTTTAAAAATAAAACGGTGCGTTACAATGGCTATTTACACCATGAACCACCTCATACTTGTCTTCTCCAGCCCAAGTAGGGAAACAATTCCTGCTGAACTCCCTTTGCTCTTCAATTTTCCTTACTGTGTTTGGACAAATTTCCTCTGAGTATTTTTCTATTCCTGCTCTCTTCACTTGGATCCTTGCCATCAGCCTTCTTCTGATCCATTCAAACATGTCTATAATAGGCATGTTCCTGGCTTCCAAAATATAATTGTTGAAAGACTCAGAGATATTATTGACAATGACATCATAAACAGCATTAGAAGAGAAGTAACACCTTGCCCAGTGTTCTTTAGGGACAGCTTTCAGCCATTCAAATGGAGTGACCTTTCCATCCTTCTTAGGAACAAGTCTTTGGATTTGGTTCATGCACCTC